CCCCAAAACCCCAAAACCCCAAAACCCCTCAAATTAGAATTCATCGTAAATTTGATATATCACTAATTTATAGTTTATTTTTAATAATAATGGGAGGTTGTTGCGAAAAAAGAAGTAATACTGAAGTGACTAAGATTGAGACAAAAAAAGCTCCGGCAGTTCAAGGTGGTATAATTAGTACTGAGGTCCCCAAGTTGCTGGAGTTTGTGAACAGTTACTTTACATAAAGTATTTTATTTTAAGCTTATTCCCTATCTTAGACCCCGATCATGATATGATTGCACTAAATCTCAGCAAAGACATGTTTAAGCCATTTCTGGCAAATCTGGCTAAATTAATGGGCATTATCAAAGATAAAACTGGCTAAATTCTGGTTCCAGTTGCTCTTTAATCCAGCCCACTCAATCCAAACACAGAAATGGTAGTTATTCTAAGGAAATTGTCAAAGTATATGAATGATTTCTTATTATTGGGGCAAAATATTGGTCAAGATGTCAATCTCATCGCACAAAGATTTGTTCTCAAGTAATTCTAGTTCCTCACTAAAGATGAAGAATTCAGAGCTACTCATCTCAACAATGACTTAATGTAAGTTTTAGAATTCTTTCTTATTCTGAATAATTTAGGTCATTCTATAACAAAGAGGGCTTGATATTGATTGGAGGTATTTAAGAGAAAAATCTATCAGGTAGTTTCTTGTTCCTATATTTTAAGTATGATAAACCCGAGTAGGAATCAGTCAATTATTAGTACCTACTCGAGCCTGAAATTATTTCCTCACCAACATCAGAGTCACTTTCAAGAGTACTTCAAAAAGCAACAATCAAAGATTAGGTACTTCGATGTGTCATCACTTTGCAAAATAATCCACTAGAAGCTATACTAGTATTGCAATAAGAACCACTAGAAGATGATCCTAAAGTTTATGAAATAAATGACTTCAATAGATAAGATCTAACAGATCTATTAATGAGTCTTGTTTCTAATCCAGCTGGACAGATTACTTCACAGAAAGCTGGAAATAATTCTACTTCCAATGGAACCAAACTCACACCAGGTGACAGATCGATAAAGGAATAAATAATGTGGGGTGTTTCTGAGCATTTGAATATGCTTGATGAAAGTCTTAGAAACGAAGTCTAGGCTCTTATTATGAACTAGAATTTCGAGTAATCCTTCATTATATCTGTAAATTGATAAAGCAGTGAGCTATATGTTCTTGAGGATATAAATGAAGCCATCAATTTTCAACATATGATTTAATACATACATTTAAATTAAAAAGCTTATTGGTTATGTCTATCTACATTTTCGATTATTTTACATCTGGGGTTTTGGGGTTTTGGGGTTTTGGGGTTTTGGGG